AATTTACTCTTGATTTGATTGGGCTTGGAACATGGGGTAGATGTTGGTACCACTAATCAAGGTTGTTAATTGAGAAGGAGGATTCAGTTTGGGGCAAGTTCAGTTGTGCTGTTCATGGAATATTCTCATAGAGCGTGTAGCAAGCAGTGTGATGGTCAGGTCAGGAGATAAGGAAGTAAAGCTTTAAGATCATCAACCTGGAGCTTATCAGTGAAATTCCTCTTACAAATACTACCAACCACTGAGAGCTTACAGCCAGATAAGAGGACAATAGAGAAAACTGGCGCACTACTATTAAAAATGGAGTCCAGCCACTGGCTGCCTGTCCACGAATAGTTTCTTACTAGTCCACTATAGCACAAGGGATTTGCCTCAGAATATAATCAACTGCATCACTAAGCCCACTGTTTACTTTAGCTGACTTTTTCCTTTTAATCTTAGCAAGATTCTCAATGAAGGAAGCCTTGCGTTACTTAATGTCTAGGTGCAAACTTCTTATTTTGTCCCAGGTCAGCACTTTGAGTATCACTAATATAGAGAACACGAATATTTAAGTTTTAGGAAGAGGTGTCCAGAGAGAGTGAGAAGGAATAGTGTGAGTGACAAGATGAGAAGCAGAAGAAAGGGAGGGATGTACGTGTACATGGTTTAAAGGAGCGAGTGGTCAGCATAGCCACGGAGAGATCAAATATGATTGAGGACTGAAAAATAATGATTGGAGCCCTGGCCGGTGTGGCTGTTGATTGGAGCATTGTCCTATGCACCAAAAAGTGGTGGGTTCAGTTCCCGGTCAGGGCACATGCCCAGGTTGTGAGTTCGATGTTTCTCTCTCCCTTCCTCCCTCTAAAATCAATTTTAAAAACAATTGGATTTGGCCACTACAGGGTCATCAGTAACATTTTAAGAGTTTTAACCTCTGTTTGTTCTCCCACCTTTTTCCATCTCATTTTTATCCCACCAATCTATCTCCCAAATAATTCTCAAATCTATACTTTGGCGAGATATACCAAAAGGCCTCTTTGATTCTAAATCTAAAATACTCTTGGATTCAATCTTCCTTTTATTTAGCTGTTGCTGATCTGAAGTGACTGATCACTCTCTTTCCATACTCTTCCCTCTGCCATACATTGACCTTGGTTTTCCTTCTCACACCCCACCTATCTATCTCTGCCCTTCTCTTCTACACATACTGCATGTTTTTAATTACACCCATTTCTTAAGTTATGTATGGTATCAATTTCCAAACCACATTTCTTTCCTGAACTACAAGGTAGTCTAACAGTCTCTTGGACATGAATGCCCCAGACTCTTCAAGTTCAATATGTTCAAAAGCTGAGCCTGAATTCTCACCTACATTCTTCCCTATTATCCTTTCTTCCTAAATCTCATACCTTGGATTATCATCTGCCCTGTTGCCAAACCGTGGGCTTGAGCATCATGCTTGACTTCCTCCTTCTTTCTTATCCAGCTGGTTTCACCTCCTAATGACACTTCATAACATTAACTCTCCCTGTGCCCACCACCTATATCTGGGCCACCCGTATTTCTGACCTGAATTACTGAATTCTCCTCTGGGCTGGGGGCTCCCTTTTTCAGTCTTCACTTGCCTCCAGTACCCTGGCCACGTTGGAGCTGGAGTCCTCTATCTCAATGGAAATGTGGTCACATCACTCTTATTGAATTGGTTGCCTGTCCCCGAGTCTTACCTCTACTCTTCCTCTATAGATTCAGGTCAGTTTGATTTTTGTTTCAGTTCTTTAATTTCAATCTCAATCAATCTCTCTCTCTCTCTCTCTCTCTCTCTCTCTCTCTCTCTCTCTCTCTCTTCTCTCTCTGTCTCTCTCTCTCCTTCTCACCCTCACCTTCCCAGAGGCTCCTGTGGCTGCCTGGAGCACATTTCTATTTCCTGTTCACTGGTGAGTTTTTTCTCCATCCTCAGGAAGCTTCCACAACCTGTAAATCTGAGTTGTGTGGACTTCCTCTGTGACCTCCTAGCATCCTGCCTTTCCCATGTATAACCCTTGACATATTGTCCTGTAATCTTTCATTTTTGTCCTGAATCAGTGCTTTCCTCTGAATTTAAATCTCCGAGGCGGCAGGAACAATATCTCTTCGGCACATCATTATGCCTCAAGCTTCTACCTAGTGCAGTGCCTAGAATAGTATGAACATTCAGTCCATGTTTGTGAAATGAAATGAATGCTCTTCTGAGAACTTTCACATCCATTATCTCAGTGGGGGTACAGTTGAACAATTTGGAGAGGATTTTAACGAAACACGAGATGTCAATGCATTAGAAGATTAAATTTTTTGTTGAGTTGTTTTGCACTAGTAGGAGGAAGGAGAAATTAGTCAGGAAAGCTGATTAGGAGAGTAGATGCATTTAATTCCACCGCATAGAACAAAGAGGAAGAGATTTTTTTAAACCAGCTTGCATCATTTAAATTTCATCTTCCTTCTGAGAAGCTAACACCTGTAAACTGTGTGTGTTTTAATGTTTAAAGGTGTCAGATTGTCCATCTTTTAGGGCTTTTTCTCCACCTGGAAAAACTTTAGATAAGATAATTTAAAAATCTACCTGAATACTTTGCTCATTGAATTTATTGTGTGTGTGTGGGGGGGGGGCGGGGTGGAGGGAGGTTACAGAAGTGAGCAATCAATTTATAGCTTTTCCTTTTCTAAAAAAATTGAAGTGAAATATATTTTTAAAGATTTATTTGATTTTTTAAAACAGAAGTACAGAAGTAAACAAAGAAATGGGCAATAATAGGAGGAAATCGAGGCTAAGAAAACCTAGGCAAAGATATATGTGATAAGATACATTGTTTGCTATCCTTTAACTTCTTCTCAAAATGAACTTCGGAAAGCTGGAGAGCTCACAGTACAAGATAGACTTTGCAGGCCCGAAAATTTGCCATCTTGTTTGCTATGGCGGAGGAACATGCAAAAGCCAGTGTGGCTCAGTTGGTTGTGTGTTGTCCCATGCACCTAGAAGTCACCGGTTGGATTCTGGTCAGGGCATATGCCTGGATTGCAGGCTTGATCCCTGGTAGGGGGCATGCAGGATGCAGCCGATCAATGTTTTGCTCTCATATCCATGTTTCTCTCTCTCCCTTCACTCCTCCTTCCTCTCTCTCTCAAAAAAAAATCAGTAAAAATATATATATTTTAAAGATAGGACTTTGCAGTCAAGTAGTTAAAAACAGAGCAGATTCAATGCCAGCTGTGCCACTGCAAAGTAAATGGCCTGTTTTGCCACTAGTTAAGAAATTGGCATGTGTTCTATCTAAAATGGTGGCTGTCTAGGGTTTGCATAGAGATGTAGATTGTAGAATATTTAAAGAAAAGAAGGGTCAAGACTTTTTCTTCAAAGCACAACTTTGAATCCACTGAACTCATTTATATATATATATTCATTTGGAGCTCCTAATTCTCTATAACACATGGAAGAGACATGCCCGGTTGGGAACAACTTGAGGAGAGGATGCCAGAGTTACCTGCCTCTACAAGAAAAATGACCTCACGTAGATTTCATGAACACTTAACTTTGACCAGCCAGCACTGTGTTCTCACAGATCTACAAGAGAAGTTAGCTCAAAATGCATCCCGAATAGCTACCTAAACAGACCTGTTGAGTGGCATCAAATGAGACTTTCTTCCCATAATTAACTAATGGGCTTGTAGGTCATCACAGTGGTTTCTGGGTAGGAGGATCACATGACCAGTTTGTATGAGGAAATTTGCCGCCTTGTTTGCAGTGGCAGAAGATCATGCAAAAGCCTCATCTAAAAGTGACAGGGATCTATTTAAGTTTCAAGTTAAACAGGAGAAATAGGGCTGTTTCATGTGACTTAGAAATGGACTTTATCTGTCAAAATCCATTCCTATCTTCCCTGACTCCCAAGGCTTAAACATGGCGGTCATACTGAGACCATGCGGTTTGACAGAGTCGGGGCTGACAGTACAATAATAAAAACTTTCAGCTGTTCTCCATAGTTTTCTAGTTGGTGAAATGTAACCTCAACAATGTCTCAGTAAGAATAATCATTCCTCATATTAGATTTTAAGATTCCAAACCATATCTGTAGAGAAATCTGACCAAGATTTTGGGGAGAGTTGGCACACGGGCACATCTGGAATTCGGGGAGTTGGAAATTGTCTGATGTGTGAACTGGATGGACTAAGGGAAAAAATGTACCTAAGGGATGAGAGTAAATGGTTTGTTCATTCTGGTAACAGGATAAGAGTTTCCTCTCAACGCCACAACCACTGCCCAGCCATTCCTCTGAGCTGCCTGGGGGTTGTTCTTAATGCTGTGGTTTCTATATGATTATTTCGGTGGTTTCTCTGAGTTACCCAGATGAGTAATTTTAATGTGGTGCCTGGCCTGGGATTTTTGGTTCAGAGAGACCGAGACACAGGAAGAACCTGTGGTGAGTGCCATACAGAGCGCAGGTATTGCCCATGTGTCTCTATTCTCCTTATCTTGCCGCTCCCTTGTTCTCATGTAAAACGAGGGCGAAAATTTTTTAAATTTTCCAAAAACCAAAACTTTGCCTGATGATGGTTTCCCCGGCCCCAGAGCTGATTTTTCTCTTTCATTTCTTCCCATGGACCGGTAGCCTTTCTGTAGGTGTGAGTGCGCTGGTTCGGCTCATATGTGAGTCCCTCAGTGTGGCCAGGCACTGTCCGTGGAATGAGAGAAACAAGAGTGGAAGTGGGGGTGAGGATTGTCGGATGAAGGGGAGCACTGTCTAATCATAGAGAACCATGAAGAAAATGTAGGCAACTGAGTACGGCCTGCTGTCTTCAATTAAATTTTAGTCATTTCTGATCATATGTGTTTTCAAAACAAGTATTGGCATCAGATATCTCAGATTATTTGCCAATGCTAATACAAGGTAATGCGGAATTTGACTCTTCAAACTTCCCCATGAATGGAAACAAGGTTAATGGTGGTGCTAGAACCAGGAGATAAAGTTCTTCCTGTCTGTCTACAGAATACAGTACCATCCACAGCCCGTCAACACCCATTAAAGATTCGGACTCTGAGCGATTACGTCGAGGTTCTGATGGGAAATCACGTGGACGAGGCCGAAGAAACAATAATCCTTCACCTCCCCCAGATTCTGATCTTGAGGTAAGTCATTGCCAACACCTGAGCAATAACACGGCGTCTTAGAGCTAAAGGATGGTTCTGAAGACCTGCGTTGTGACAGCAGAGACCAACGTGTCCAAATGCTTTTGTTACTGCTTCCTTTCCATAGTAACTATAAAGAAAGCATTATTTTCTTTCTTCTGCATGCATTCTAAGGAAAACAATTATTTCTGTTCTCTCTCCCATTTAACTACATGGTAAAGTATCTGCTTATTTCTCTCTAAGGGAATACAGTAAATTACATAATTCTGCTTGAACAAAATTATCTTATAGTGCTCTATATCACTGTCATTTCAATGAGGTAATTAAAGACATACTTATCTATGTTAAGAAAGGAAAACCTGGAATGTTCTAAACTGAAGTGGTCATCCTCTTATGAGGTGTGTGCTGGTGGAGTTCAAAAGCAGGAGGGATTAAACAAAACCTTCCAGGGTCAGTAGGCTTCATAGCCTCGAATCCATTGCAATGAAGTTTCTGGGTTTGTTTTTTGTTTTTTCCAATTTTTTTGCAGGACCTAAATGAATATGTACCGGTGTAAGTGGGAATGGAAAGAAGAAAAGCAGGCATGAGGCCTTTTGTGGTATCACAAAGACCTTCTTTGAAATAAGTTCTTCAAATCTGATTCCAAATACCCTGAGAGTGTGTCAAGAGCAGTGTGATGTGTCTGCTTAAGTTATTAACTATCTGGAAACATCAGAAAATCAAATATATAATCTGACCAATTGATAACAGCCCAATAGGTAACATAAAGTGAATAGATGATGGAAAGTTTTAGTTTTTTGTGTGCAATTTTTTAATACTTTGCTTGATAGAAATAAAGCATAAGATTAGCTCCTTTAACACTTCCTAAAGAACAGAGAGTAGAAATAAGGAGAAGATAAATTGAATGATTTTTAATTGATTGTCCCTCTCTGTCTCAGAAGTTACAAACAGACTAGTTTTAGCTCATTTTTTTATTTCTTCAGAGCTGAGACTGAGAACCTGTTTCAGAAGTAGGAAGGCCATATGTTGTTATGTCTCTCCTATATTTGTGTTGATGTTGCTAACAGAATTATTCTCTTGTATGTCATCTGAGGTTACAGCAGAAGAAAAGTTGGGAGACATACTTTGAATAGTTGAATTTTTTAAAAAAATAGTAAATCAGATTTTTCGTTTGTCTCCCATTTCAAAACAATTGCTCATGTTGAAGTTATGAATAACAAGGTTTCTTAAGCAAAAGAAAGACACACCGATTTGGTTCTTCCTTTGTAGAGGGTGTTCATCTGGGACTTGGACGAGACAATCATCGTTTTCCATTCCTTGCTTACTGGGTCCTACGCAAACAGATATGGGAGGGTGAGTACCAGGAGGTTTTATTTTTTCTTTAGAATATAACAAGGCCTAGAATTGAATTTTTGTCCAAATGGGAATGTGGTTAAACTTTAAATGATAAATCAAAAATCTAAAAAAGAAAATAACTTGATGGGTTAGCAAAAACACGTAAATGAACAAAAGGAGATATTTTATGATTCTTAAAAATGAGATAAACTTTATGCAATTTAATTCATTCTTACTTCAGACCCCAATGAATAAAAGTGATTGAATACTATTCTAAGATGATATATTAGAATGTTTAGATGACATAGGAAGATCTCTTGGGTTGTATTTTTTTATTTGCCATGCCCTTCTATTTATTTATTTACTCACAACATATTCAATGGAGCAGATATTCACTTGCTGATGTCTTCAGTGATTAGCAGTATTAATATTTTATTTTCAAAGCACCTGTTATGAATGTCTTTACAAGTCCCTTTGCCATGAGATTAAATTTATAGGAATGGTATGCACCATTGGGCCTCTGAATGACAATAGAACCAAAACTTTTATGTTTGAGTTGTAATAACACTTATCTTGGTGTTGTAGGTAAAAAATAATGTTATAGACCACCTCGTGAATAGACCTTCAGTTTCAATGTTCTGCATTTGGGTTTTCTAAAACCTTGGTCATTTTTTTGATATATTGCTTGATGGATTCATAAACCTTCCACACAATAATCATGCTATTTAAAGTGGCTATAAATAATTTCTGAAATTATTCTGTAAATATGATATTTTAATTTTTTAATCTTTAAAGAAATAATATTACAAATCTTAGATCCATAAACTATTGGTTTGGAAACTTAAAAACGAAACTGTTTATCACAGTTGATACCCATAAAATGTGCATACTGTCATTACAGATCCTACCAAGGTATTCATTGTTTCAATAAGTATAATTGAGTGCTTGCTCTGTAGGTGTAGTGTGGAAGTGAAAATAGGGAATTATCAATTGAGCTTCACAGTGCAGCTTTCCTTCTCCTAACCCTAAAGATATGCCTAATAAAAAAATGGCTGAAAAATGCACATTTGTAAGAGTAAGAATAATCCACCATTTGAATTTCTGTCCAAAAATAAGGTATCTGTAAAACCTTATTGTTAAATTTCTAAGAGAAGACAACAATTAACAAAAATTCAGATTATGAAAATAAAACCATAGAATCAGTCATTCTAAGAAAATCTATTATGTGCCTAACACAATAAGGACTCAATAATTATTAGTTATGTTGTTTTTTTGTATTATTATTTATATTAATACTCTACTTATACTTTCATTTACTTGAAATAGTGATATTCCTATTTTTGCAAAACAACTTAGAAATTGATTACAAATGAATACATGTAGCCAGTAGGAAGAATCTGGGAGATGTTAACTAAACCATTACAATGTCCTATAACTAACTTCTATGGGAAAAAGGTGGCTCTTGGAACTCACACAAAAGTGTTGGAAAGAGCAGGCACGAAGAAAACCAGAATTTGAAAATCATCCAGAAAGTCTTGAGTCTTTAAAAACTTGCTCACTGAGGGCCAAACTGATGCAAACAGAGTTGTCTTGATCAGTTCTCTGTGACCATTGAAAGGACTCAGCTTAGAGCATCCCGTGACCTATTGACCTCATGTCACTCTTTGACCATAAATTACTCATTTGCATATGGAATTCACGCCTAACCTGGAAACTGCTGGCTACCTAGAATTTTCCATTCAGATTCTCAACAATACCATGAGTTATATTTTTAAAAGTGTTAATCATTAGTATTTTGAGGTTTCATCAAATAGTGTTTTGTTTGTTAGTCTGTTTACTTTTCTCATACCAGGGCAGGTGATAAAAAGTTTTACGTATAAGTCCTCAAAACAAAAATTGAATATTCTTCAAAGTGTGGGTGATTTGATATTTAAATGTAAGCTTACTTATTTATAAGTTGATAGGCATCTGGGAGAAAGCAAATTTGCAAAGCCTACTTAGGGAAGGTCTTCCTGAGGTCAGAAAGATCTGAATAGGCCAGTAGGACATGTAACCATCAAGAGAAAGAGTATTCTTTAAAACAAGAGAGAATGTTCTAAACAAAGGAAACAGCAAGTGCATACACAGAAAAGGGCTTGATGCTTGAGGGTCAAAGGGTAGTGTTGTCAGCTTTGTGATGATGATACAGAGTCAAGAAAGAGGAGGGCCAGGACAGAGGGCCGTTCCGCCATGGTCAGGAGAGTTGATCTCATTGTACATGCCATAGGATGCCATTCAAAGTCTTCAAGAGAGCACATGACAGATCTGCTTTGGATTTTTAGGTGTCTATGACTGTGTGTGGATAATCGAAGGTAGGGGCAGAGGAATGGAAGAATAGGGGAGGTTTTAGCAGTGATCTGATTAATTAGCAGTAGAAATGGAGAGAGCCGATTAGATTCTAGATTCTAGTGCCAGTGGGAAATTTGGATTTGGAAATGATTTGGATTGGGCTGGTGGGCAATCCTAGCCCATATAATAAAAGACTAATATGCAAATTGACCAAATGGTGGAACGACCAGTTGCTATGACATGCAGTGACCACCAGGGGGCAGAAGCTCAACGCAGGAGCTTTCCCTTGGTGGTCAGTGCGCTCTCACAGGGGGAGCCAGGCTTATAGCTGGTGAGCACAGCAGTGGTGGTGGGAGCCTCTCCCGCCTCCATGGCAGTCGGACATCCCCTGAGGGGTCCTAGACCATGAGAGGGTGCAAGCTGGGCTAAGAGACCCCCCTCTTATCCCCCTCCCCTTGCAGGATTTTCATGCACCGGGCCTCAAGTAATAGAGAGGAATGAAAAGATCATCATCAGGTTTTTTTGTTGTTGTTGTTGTTCTGAGCAACTGGGAGAATAGCCATATGAGAGGGTTGAGATGGGGAAAAACTAATTTAGAAGAGAAATGGAAAGTTTGGTGTTGGACAAGTTTGAGATGTCTGTGAGACATCCCGAGTCCAGGAAGGAGGCTGTAGTCAGGGCTGGAGATGAGTCACAAGCTTCTGAGATGCTCTTAGCTTGATTGCTCACTAAATGTTTATTGCACACCTTCTTCGTGCTGGATGCTCAAGGTCAGCCATCGTGTCCTGGTCCAGATGGGTTTTGAAGACACCATTGCTAATTGAATTGTAGCCTGAAGCATGCGAGAACACTTGCTTCATGTTCTCTTCATTGGAGAACTTGAGAGTCGAGAAGAATTTGCTCTCAGATCTGATCATCACATTGTAAAAATGTGGTCCAACAAGGATTCTTCCTGACAATAATAATAACCAAGATGATCAGAACATCCCGTATCCTTTTATCTCCCTTGAGCCTGAGGAGAGAGGTCTTAAAGCAGTTCAGGTCTTAAAGGCAGCCTTCCTTCTTGGAGCGCACGTTCCGTGGTGTGCTTTGTGCCTGCGCATTGTCAAGGGGAGCATGGAAGGCTGGGCCTTACTCTCCAGGCCTAGAAAGAAATGAATGCCTGGCCTGACAATGTGATAGCTGTTCTGTCTCCATGGGAACCAGACACTTGAGAAGTAGCTTAGTCACACTAGCTTAGGCAACTCAATGAGTAGGCCATTCAGTAAGGGGACACAGGATCTGGTTGATATAATGCAAAATTAGGGCATGTTCCAGCAATATGTACCAAAAAAAAAAAAAGTTTGAGAATGTCCCACCTTCCGTGTAATCGTAGCTCTGGGAAGCAGGCATGTTGGGTGTTATAAAGAAGTGTTGTTTTAATAACAAAGGTGATGGGAACTAAAGGAGGGTGCTGGGTCCAGGGCAGGTTTGGCTGGGGAAGAGAAGAGAAGAGAAGAGAAACAGCATCTTAGCAGGAAAATAAAGCCCATGGGCGTTCCTGTTAAGTAAGTTGTTGTTAAATAATATCTGTCCCAGCTTTCTTTGTTTAATGCATTTTTAGAAGTTGCTCTCAAACTGAGTCCAAATTCCCCAATTTCACTGACGTAAGCTAGTCTTGCCTTTTTTCATTGAATGCTCTTTTAAAAATAGACAAAATATTTTGGAATTTTCATGGAATTGTTATCCCGACGTGAATTCCCCATGAGCATGTATTAAACTTTGATTTTTCTCCTGTTTAAAAAAAATAGATCAGAGCCTGCTCTCCCTCCCAGCAGCGCGCCCACCCCTTCCCCTTTCCCCTCTCCTTCCCCCTCAGGCATGCCTCTCCTCAAGTCTAAGGGACCCCAGGAGACTTGCAACCTGGGCAGCAGTGGGCAGCAGCAGCTCGTCCTGGGCTAACCCCCTGAGCCTGTCCCTAAGTCCCCCTTTTCTCTAACTTCTTAGCCAAAGCAGCCAGCCTGGGCTCCTTGTTCTGCCTAGTCTCTCTCCTATTGCTCGTTCTGTCCTACACCCTTTCTTGTTTCACTGTCTCCAACTTTAATAAACGTCCTCTCAAAAAAAATTTGGCAAGATAATCCAGTTACATCAAAGCAAGTACCCCCGACTTCTATTCCAAATAAGCGTTGTGCTCATCCCCTCTGTGGAAGGATTCCCCAAGATACCTAGACCCAATGGCTTCATTGTCCCAACACTTAACCTATTGTCATTGCTCGTATGGATGTGGCCTAGTACACTCCTGATTTTAACACAAAAACCGAAACATAAGCACTTACGCCAACTGAAAGCTTAGTATTTTTAATTCTAGGCCCTCCTTGTTAAGGATTTCCTATGTGCCCGGTACTCATATAATTCAGCACCAATGCTCTGAAACTGCTAAGCCCATTATACAGATGGGGAAACTGATGCTTGGGAGAGGTTAGAGACCTAATGTGAAAAACCCGAGCACAGTGACTGGCATAAAATAAATATTTATATCTTAATGTAGTTGAACCTTGACCGCAAAATAATTGAATCTGGCATAGGGGCCAGTAAATATTGTCTTCAAATTTATGAAGTGCCAATATGTGACATACCTAATTCAATTCAAATAGATCTAGACTCAAATCCAAGCTCTGACTTCAGGGTTGGGGGAGGGGGGAGCGGTTGTT